CAGCAAGACACTATTTAGGAAGGGGGAGGGATGACAGAGAATATATACATCCTTTTTTTTATTTGAATGAAGTAAAGTAATTCCCTTTAAGTGGATAAATCTCAGGTATGCAAGAGGTATACCAAAACATAATAGAGAACCTACACAGTAAAATGTATGGTTTTCTGTAACTTCGCCCAATCTTCTATAGAGGCAGGAACCTCCTCACTGGTACACACAAAGGTAACAACAGAGTATTATTTTCTACCTCCGATACCCCATATTAACGCGAAAGAAGCATAATCACTTTAATTATAATGCTGTGGTAGGAACTTACCAAAGATCATAAGCTAACAGTAACCTGGATAATGTTATACCCAGTGTTGTCAAAGGTTTAAGACGTGCTTAAGTCTTGAAGCTCAGGAAAGCTCAAGGAGGGCGCTTCCCGTCGCTTAAACTGCACTTTAGTGTAGGCAAGGTACTAAGGTGTGCACCTTATTACCCACGAGTTATATCTTGAATCAAGCGGTACTAAAAAACAACAATAATCGGAAAATAAGTGTATTAGTTGTTAAGGAAAACATTATAAGTGAGTTTGTTACTTATTATCTTGAATTACACGTGTTTATTACTATCCTTCTTTGTGCCTTTTTAAACTGAAGCCCACACTTTAATTGCGCTTTGCACTTAAAGACCCAAAAACCTTAAGCCTTTTTAGAGCTTTTCGCCTTTGACAACACTGGCTACATCTCTTATTTCTTTATACACATCAGAAAATTACAGGTGCGAGAGGAAAAGGTTGAAGAAACTAATAATTTTTCCAACTGGAAATATATAGAGATACTACTACACTATAGGGAACCAATACAATATATGCAAGTTCTCGGGTGCAAAGAATATACAATACTTCTTTTGGACGGAAGCTATAAGCAGCATCTAGCTGTAACCTACAACACGATGAAAAATGCAGCTTAGAAGCTAACTACGTAATTTGATTCCACGCACGATCAAAGAAGTTCAGTCAACAGATTCCTCATCTTAGTCGGGGTACTCAATAGCATCATGACACTCCTTTATGTCATGGAAACAACAGATGCAAAGACAAAAAAGGAAAGAACAGTTGTAATCAAAATACAATAGGAAGGAGAGCTCGCAAAATAAGAAAAACTATAACGATCAACAGTTAAAATTCTGATGCCTCAGACAAATTTATTTGTGAATGTAGACGGGAGTATCCTGACGGGGCCTAATAGCTTTTGCTTTCATGAAATCCTCAACATTCACTTTATAATGCATCCACTCTTTTATGGATTTGCAACTTTTTGACCTCCTCGGTGCCTCTTTTTTGTACGTAATATATGTAATTGACAAACTAAAAAAAAGTATGGCTAACTTATTTACATTGTCAATCATAACTCACCAAAATGGCCATTTATTGGGCTAATGTTGTGCCAACAGGAAACCACCAGCTACATATTGGAATAATATATATCTCTATGACTGTGATGCCATCTTAATTACCAAGCTATTGTTCTGAACAATTCAGCCCAAGAAATTGGGGAGCAAACATTAATTAGAAAAGATAAAAAAATACTCATTTTTTCAGAATTCTAATAAATTTTCAGCATACAAAATGCAGGTGTTAAAGGTTTAGCCTGCTATTTATCTCAATAACCAAAGCATTAAAATGAAACAGAAGATACAGATCCCTACAGCTAAAGGCAGTGATCGGTACCTACTATGCTGCAGCGATTACTTCATTTGTTCCTACTTCTTCATGTTCTAACTCCTTAACCGCTCTTACGAGACCCTTTGTGATTGCATTTAGATGCAACCCATTCTCCTTCATCTCCTCCAGCAGCTTCTCCGCTGTAGTCCAATCTAAAGCCTTAAGGCAAAGAGATTGGATAAGTTTGTTATATTCATCAGCATTAGGCTGAACTCTGTACTCCTTCATCTCTCCCAATAGTTCCACAGCCTTCTCATACTGTTCAAGCTTGCAATAACCCCGAATAATTGTGTGATAAGTGACAGGACTTAACTTGGCGTGCTTCTTTTTGGCTGCATCCAAAACATTACGAGCTTCATCCATCTCACCACCCTTTGTATAACCGCTCATAATGACATTGTAAGTGTACACATCGGGTTTCAAACCTCTACCCTCCATCACATTCATCAGTTTCTTAGCTTCTCCCATTTCTCCACTCTTGGAGAGCGCGCTGATAACTGTATTGAAGACTGCGTTGCCAGGTGGCGGACCTGCATCTATCATTTTCAGGAGCAAGTTTTTGGCGTCTTCGATGTCTTCACTGCAATAAGAGCGCAATTGCTTTTCCCCTGTTACATCTTTTGCCCTGCACAACCCTTGAATGACATATGAGAATGACTTAATGGCACGCTTACGCTCCTCTTTAGGGAAATCCTCCAACATCTCTAATGCAAATCTAACGCTTTCATCTTTGCGACAAAGCGAGCTGATCAACAGCTTAATAGAAGAAACAGGCAGATTAATATTCTTCTCCTTCGCCAACAAGTAAACCAGATGTGCATCCTTAGACTTATTTCCTTTACACAAAAAAGAAACAATTTTTCCTACTTTCTCAGCACCCGGCAACATATCAGCATTTAGCATCTTCTCACAAACAGTAGAAGCCCAATCATATATGGAACGCCTACAAAGTGCTTCAATGGTAAAATAGTACGTATCAGCATTTGGCACGCAATCCAATTCCCCAAACTTATTAAAGATCTCAAATGCAGCCTTTCCTTTACCCAATCTTGACAATAAAGCAATCAACTCATTAAGAATCTCAGCATTCAAGATCCCTTTCTCCTTTTCTCTGACCTCCTTCACCAAATCCCACAGAGCATAAACATTCCTACCTTCAATACAGACTGCAGTAACCAACAATTCAACTACCCTTTTCGTTACCAAAAACTCGGGTTTCTTCAAACCCCACTTGAAAAAAGATATCAAATTCTCACCAGGAACATAAGGTGTCTCAAGAACTCTAACAACAAACTCCTCATTCAAAGACAACCCAATTTCCTCAAGACTAGACTCAATAGATCTATCAAGATTACCACTACTCTGTAATAAAGACAACACACACTCCAATTTTTCCAAGTCTAATTCTTCCTCTACAACCTCATTTTCTCCAAAATCAGAAATTTCTTCAGCTGCTATATTATCCTTAATTTCATCAAAAACAGTGGACCCTTCATTGGACTCAGATGAAACAGTTTCAAGATTGTCTATAAAGGCAGTATCTTTATCATTTTTAATGGGTTCAGAACCTACAGATTCGGAATCTGAAGATGGGTTTGATGAAAAAAACCTTTTTATTTCGTGTGAACAAGATTTGGAAGAGATCCAATTAGAATAATAACGAAATAGAGATTCAGCTGAATTTAGTGGAGCTATAGTTTGATTGTTGAGTACCTGAGGAAGAATAAAGATGTGATTTTGGAAGCCATTGAAACTTTGATTTGCTATAAATTTTCTGGAAAATGCTTTCCTTGCCAGAACTGCAGGTCTCCACATTTTTGCTCTCTATCGGAGGAGTGTGATTGTCCCTCTGTAAAACCCTATACCGTAGTCCTGGGTTTGAATTGCACAAATAGCCTTTTTTTAGCCCCCTCTTTATATTTTATCGTCTCTAATAGGAGTTGTAAATATGGTCCGTTCTAATTTTAATGAATAAAATTTGGATTAAAAGAACCTACTCTTATATATATGATCCATCCTTCGTGTGTATTTATGCCCGATTTGACTCTTTTTGTTCACAATTTTAATTTTTTATGGGTTTCAATTCAAATTTTTACTAAATTTTATTTAATTTAATGGGTTCAAAATTTATCATTTTAAACAAGGATTCATATCACGATCCCAATTTGTTTGGGACTGAGGCGTAGTTGTTATTGTATACTTATTTAGTAGAATTTTTAAGATATATAATTGTCTAAATCAAAGTTATTGGATTCGGATAAACCTGTAATTTCTTTACTAGATCCGCCTCGATAATGGTTTTAATTATCAATTTTTTTCTCTTTCTTTTGCTTTCTTTGAATTATACATATATGTTTTCAAGTGACAAAAACCTCATAAATTCAAATAATATACCAAAAAACTTTTTCTACCAGTTTCAAGTGTTGTTGTTTTCTATATTTAGTTTGAGAACTAGATAAATTAAGTGTGAGAATGGGAATGTGTAGCTGACTTGCACTAGCTATACTTCTATTATAATAGAATTAGACATTTTTCTTGATGAATATCGTCCGTGTTCTATTGTACTTGATGTAGAATCGTTTCTATAAATGCTATTTTATTTATGAGTCTTAATCTTTATGCCATGCAAGAAACTAATATTTTTTCTTTCTTTTCATTCCAAATTCAAGAATATGATCATTACAACTAGTTGGTCTGAGTTTGTCAACTAGCATACAGCAGAATACCTCTTACCATTGGTTCTCACCGAGCAGAAAAACACAAGCAATGCATGAATCAATAAGCATAAATGTCGAATGCTTGTTAGTTGAAATAGAAAACGCCCCCAAATTACAGTGTTTTTAACTTTTATACACGGTCTGTTCTTGAGCCGATGATCTATCGGAAACATCTCTATCTTCATAAGGTAAGGGTATGGTATGCGTACACATTACCCTCCCCAGACTTGCACTGGATTTGTTGTTGTTGTTGTACTTTTATACACTGTCAACGCAAAAGAACTTCCCGATCAAAACCTGGAAAATAAGGCAGGTAACCTGCTAGAACAACAACCCAGTATAATCCCACTAGTGGGATCTAGGAAGGGTAGTGTGTACGCAGATCTTACCCCTATCCTGGAATAGAGAGGCTATTTCCGATAGACCCTCGGCTCCCTCCCTCCAAGAACTCCCCACCTTACTCTTGGGGTGACTCGAACTCACAACCGATTGGTTGGAAGTGGAGGGTGCTTACCACTAGAGCAACCCACTCTTGTCAGGTAACCTGCTAGAAACAAGTCAAAATACATCGAAAGTCTAATAACGTAAAAATTCTTTACACGATCAGTGTACATAAATTAAATCCAATTATACATGATAGCCAAGGATGTGAAGGTACTCGGAAATCAGTTTGCCAAGCATCATAAGCTCATAACTTGGACAAAAAGACAGATACATTTAACTGCTCGTATCACTTTCCACTGGCACACAACCCCTCATTTTGGGAATCAGATGAAAAGAATCCTCAACATGAGATACAAATCTCCTTCACTATCACCTTTTAGACTTAGAGTCTTTGAATATGTGCACTATCACTTTTTAGACTTGGAGGCTTTGAATATGTGCTCCTTGTAGTATTTGAGTTCTGCTATGCTCTCCTTAATGTCATCCATAGCTCTGTGCTTGTTTTTCTTTTGAGGTGCCTTTCTATTGTCTAATCAAAAAGCAGCAAAACACAACATGCAACAGTGAGAAATTGAGCCGATTGTATCAAAGCATCAAATACTGATACTGAAATCAGAATTGAGAACAAAAAAAAAAGGACAGCCCGGTACACAAGGTATCCCGCGTTCACGCAGGGTCCGGGGAAGAACTGCACCCCAAAGAGTGTGACGTAGACAGCCTACCCTAATGCAAGCATTAGTGGTTGCTTCCACGGCTCGAACCCATGACCTATAGGTCACACAGAGACAACTTTACCGTTGCTCCAAGGCTCCCCTTCATTAGAACAACAACAATAACCGAAATCCCACAAGTGGGGTACGGGAAGGGTAGTGTATACGCAAACCTTACCCTTACCCTGGGAAGGTAGAGAGGCTATTTCATATTAGAATTGAGAAATAAAGATTTAATCCTCCCCCACCGACCCGATGAATACATCGAATATACCAGATAAATCTCAAAATGCAGTATAGACTTTTACCTCGTGGATACCAACGAAGACACAATGCCCTTACGCTGCTGACATCAACAAGTACATGTGAAAACAAACTTGCCAAATTTGGCATAAACTTCTGCAATGAATAAATTATAATGAGAATAGTTATTAACTAATGACTTTACAAACCTGAACTTTGAAAGAGGCTATCAAGTTGACTGTAGTAAAATAACAGTAATCACATACATCTACTTGTAGATGAGATTCCACAAAATGATGTTTACATAATCAGACATACACACACCATACCTTCAAAAACAGAAGATCCATATAGACTGAATTTCCAGCAAGTAGTGGTGTATACGTCCTTATGTTTCTCTTGACAAATTCAGCTACCTACACAAAACAAGGGGAACAAAAAAGAATATTTATCTAAAGGATCAGCTTGTAGAACCTGTAGCACGAGCGAAGTCTGTGGATTCCACATGTGATCTTAGCCAAAAGCCCGTGTGTGGAAATCTGTGGGTTCTTTCAACCAGTATTGCATGCGCTCTATCATGGCAGCAACATTTAAGCATAGTGATAAATGGTAAACAAAAAAAAATACACCAAAAAGGGAACAGATTAAGAAAAGAAAAAAGGGAAGAGGAAACGGAAGGTATTAATGCCGGTGACAGCTCTTCAAGAAAATAAAGTTATATCTTTTGCCTTTTCGGATAAATGACATTGATCACAAGGACCAATTTCCATGTGTTAGGATGTACCTCTACCTCAAAATGCTACGCAAAGCTAACATCTCCAAGAAACGGATTCTTGAAACAATCAGAGAAGCTATAAATGGGAACTTATGTTCCTAAATTTTGAGATTGAAGGTACAAAATAACAGTATATAAAGTTATTCTTGAAATCTGTAAACCGAGGAAGCAAAGCTTCAAGACAGTTATTATTTGCTGCTTACTCTATTACATATGATCCTCAAGTCCGAAAACAAAAAATAATGTCATGACATCAGCATCCTAGAGACAAAAGGAATAGGATACCTGCTTCTCGGCTTCTTCTTCAGTGATGGTACTCTTGAGAACCTTCTGAGTCAAACCTAAATTACATTAAGTTTCATCTTTGAACTAACTGCTAACATTACAAAAAAAAAATGTACTCTATTATGGTGACATGTTAGTTGAATTCCTCTTAAGACACTCTTATAACCTAGAGCAAAGTACACATTAAGCCACTTACCACTTGTTGCATGATGGCTTTGACACCATTCTCCCATATTGTCCAGATACTCCTTGTTTTGATGTATAACCAAATCAGGACCCTAATTTTGAAAGCACAAAATAAATTCCTGTTAGTAGAAGCACGGGAATGTATTGACGAGATGTATAGATGCACGAGGAAGAGATCCAGCACGGCGAAATTCTAATGACAGATAAGGTGGATAGAAATGCAGAATACATAAGAAAAGACAGACAATTTTACCTCAATTGATTTGGTCAAATTTCCATCTCTAATTACACAGGCAATCTCCAATATCCTATCAACCTCAATAATCAAACCTACATAGAAAGGAAATGTCAAAAGAAAATAATACTACCCAAGTTGAATCTTCAAGAGCACTTTTGGAGATGTGCAATGCTGCTTCGTTTTCAACACTCAAAATTTGACACAACCTCTGGAAAACAGGACAAAAAGAAGATCCGAGTTTCTTCTTTGGACAAATGATTCGAAGTAGTTAGTTCATTAAGGATGACGATACTCAGGAGGCCTCTCTGGCCTAAGATACACAATGCAAAGTTTGAGGAGGGGAAATACTCAACATTCATTTTATAACCATCCTTTAAAAAGACTCTAGTAGTATCGACGGCTCAAGACAACACAATCAACATAGGATTGCAAACATGAGAAATTATAGAATACTCTAAAATCATACTGAACGTACTTGATGTCATAAGTCATTGGAAAATAAAGTACGGTGATTGATGTGCTTCCAACGAGTCATGAAATAATAATTACCAGTCATCTCAAGGTCAATCCATACAAGCGGAAATTTGTACTCTCCTGGAAGCAAAGGTGACCTCTGAACCCCATTTTCATGTTTGAGCGCAGTCACCTCTCCTGAGCTATCATCTTTGTCCTTGGCTTTTCCTGAAGAGTTCGAAGATTGTCATTTTCTTGCAAGGATCAGCTACATATGTCCAACTTTTAATATTGACCATTCAATTATTCGACTACTCCGTTCAGCGTAGCTATTGATCTAGAAATCTTAGAATTAAGCAGGCATTTAAATACAAATTCTGCCCCCATCCTTACCTCCTCCATTTACCATCTCAGTTTCCCCACGAGTTTCTGCATCATCCCGGCTATCTGGGACGCTCAGATTCAGCCATGAGAAGGCATTTGAGAGTTGACTCATTTCTGTGAAAGCCCTTGATCATTAAGCTCCTAGGGAATAGAAGATAGGTTAATGTGCGCAAACCATGATGCTTTTTCATTAGGAAGTAAAATTGAGTTAGTATTTTTTAACTTCAGACAGGTACAATTTTCAATAATCACTGACCAAATCATGCTCAATCGCATTCATCATTAGAAGTTGCACCAGAAAGTGCCCGAGTTAGTAATGGAGCATAAAACATAATGCAAATCCAATACATCATCATCCTATCATGACTTAATCATGGTTAGGTCTATAGAATATTCAATGCTTCTTCTCAATTGCTCAAGAATATTCAATGGGATGGGAGAAAGCACTTCCACACCAAGAGAATATGTTAATTGTTAACAACTAAAACACAAAAGAAGGGACCAAAACAAGGGCAAGTCCTTGGCTTATATCAACTTTTTTTTGTGAAAATTGAGGATCAGGGGATTTAACATCGTTTCTCTAAAGTCAGACTTATGCTTATTTTGTTTCCAGAGACGGAACAGGAATTGAAGTTTATGGGTTCTGAACTTACCACCAAACACATAGCACGTTTTAGTTACTGGGTTAGCCATTAAATATTTATACATATTTAATGAATTTCCTAATACAAATATAGGGTCCAAGCAAAAGCTACTGCGTTCGCTCGAACCCATAAGTTTCTTGCTCTTAAGAATTTTCTCTGCCTTGTAGAGCAGTGAGATGTCATTGTTAGAACGTGATTATCCTCCCTCATAGTCACACCATATAATTAGTGGTTGCCTTTTCTGTCGACAAAACTATTTCGAATTCATAGAAGCTAATGTGTAGTATCATATAACAAATACTCCAAAGCAAACAAAATTGTACATGAATAAAAGGAGCTCAGCTATCAAAGATTCAAGAAGAGCCCTTAATCCATTTCCAGTTAGTAGTAGTATCACCAAAGATGAGGTATTAACACCTAAGTTGCTCGGACTCTTCACTTTCAGTGCCGCACCTGTGTCGACACGACGTGGGTGTGGGTATGGGTATGGGATCCGTATCGGATCTAGTCAACCAATTTTGGGTACTTTGACCAAAATCAACAGAGAAATTTGGGATAGATACAATGATTTTTGAAAACAAATCAAAAGCTAGGGTGATATGGAAGAAAATGGAATACCTTGTATATATAAATTTCTATGTCAGTCCTTTTCCTTTTATCTCCTTCTAAAATTCTACTCTTGTTCAATATTCTCTCCTTCTCGGAATACCTTGTAATTTTTCCACATAATGTCTCATAATTTAGACATATTTTTATAACTCTATTTTTAAATAATTGAATTATTTTTAGCCGAATCCCCGCACCCGTATCCGTACCTGGATCCGTACCCCCGAATCTTTAAATTTAGATCATGAAGGATCTGACCTCTAGATCCGCACCCGTATCGGACACCCGCACCCGAGTCCGAGCAACTTAGATTAACACTACTAAGGCAGGCCGATGTTACATAGTTGTTCCCCCCAAACACCATTTTTAGGGTTACAACGAGCTGGCCTTTGAGAGACTAAGTTGAGAACAATGCTCCCTCTCATTCTAGCCATGTGGCTATCTGCTCACTTATCTAGGATCAAGTAGTGGCGTAGGCACAGGCATTGAAGGGTGGTCAACCGAATACCCTTCATCGAAAAAGTATATTGCGTATATAGGTCAAAAAATATTTTTATATGTGTATATTAAATTTTGAACATACTTCGCGAAATTCCTGGCTTCGTCGGGATCAAGGGCTATTTACTAAGTTATATAATATGTGACACTTCCTTGGAGAGACCCGCACTCCCGTCAGCTCTCAAGTAAATAAAGAAGTTGAAGCCAGTTACATCAGCTATTGGCTGTACACACACACACCAAAAAAAAAAAAAGTAGACGCAGGTCTAGTGGTACTCTTTATCTTTTATTTCTTTCTTTCTTTTTTCCATTAACGTTACTCTGTATCTGCTAAGTTAAAAACCTGAATCCGCATAATCTTTTGAGGCCCCAAAATGTTGAAACATGAAGAAAAAAAAATGCAAGAATATATATTTTTTTTTTCAAAAAACAGTTTTTGATTCCATATGGTAGTTTGTCAATCGTCAATACAAAAGAATCATCCTTATATAGGTATAGAAACTTGTATATGCATGTGTTTTGTATATACATAGAGCCGTAAGAAGGAATATGGGCGTGGGAGGAAAAGGAAAGGGAGTTTACCGAGAACAGCAGCAGGAGCTTAGAGGGGTCGGAGGTTGGCTCGAATGCTTGAACACTCCCCAATTATTTTCTTCTTCATTTTGAAAATGAAAATCAGGCTTCATGGGCCTAAGTATATCTTTTATTAGTATGTACCTATTGTAAAAATGGAATCTTTACAGAAATGGCCGGTCATATTCATTATTTACTTTTTATAGCCATATATATAGATTATAATATCATATAGGAGTGGCAAACGGACGGGTCGGGTCGAATATAGTTCGGGTCGAAAACGTGTAATGAAAATACAGATCAATTATCCGACCCGACCCATATTTAATACGGATAAAAAACGGGTTAACCAGCGGATAATATGGATAACCATATTATTCATGACTTCTTGCATATGATCACTTTTGGGAGAATTCTTAGTATTCCTAACTTGAGGAACCTCCAATTTGAGGCTTTACAAATATAAACGTTAGACCCATTGGTTACCCATTGATTATCTATTTTCTAAATGGATAATATGGTTCTTATCCATATTTGACCCGTTTTTAAAAAGTTCATTATCCAACCCATTTTTAATGGATAATATGGGTGGTTAACTATTTTTTTAACCATTTTGCCACCACTAGTATCATACCATGATTATATATATGTATCATACCATGATTATATGGGTTACCTATTTTTATGCATATATTATACCTCCACCGGCTATTTTTAGTTTAAGAGGTTGGGTGGGCGACTATTTGGGTTAATTCTTCGCAAAACATTGCACAAATATGATATTTTTTTGGGTGGTCTTTAATTTTTTACTCCCACTTGCCTCATGAGTTATGGATAGAATTTCAAGATCAAAAATTAAAAGTGTTGCGCATAGGGAAAGCGAGGTGCAACACTTGTTAAACTTGAAGTTCTACCCATGGGGCAAGAGGGAACAAAACTTCAAGATCATCCACTTTAAGGGCTTTTTGTGTACTTCAGCCATTGCAGGGAAATTGCACAAACACCTGATTTTGGGGTTACTGTTTAAGTTGTACCCTAAGTTCAATTTATTTTATAATATTACTCACTTCGGACATAATTTCAGACGTACGCGACTGAAGTAACATAATCCGTGTCTGAAATTATAAATTTTATTTGAAGTTAGGAAATCACAGGAATTGAAAGCATTTTAGGTGATTCTATTTCTCTCAAAACAAGAATTAGAGCATCAGATTTGTATTTTTACTGAGTAACATTGTTTGGAGCATCAGGTGTTGCAAGTAGCTACCAGCAGTTGATTTTGCAGTTAAGTATATATTATTGTTAAGTCGACCACTCGAAGATGGTTAATAATTCTGAGGCTGAAATTCTTAGTGTCAAGTCTCATCATTGTAACAACTGCCACACATCTACCAACCCTTTTTAGAAATGTAAAGTTTATAAAACAGTAATAAGTTATGTACTCACATATAATGTTGCATTCTCTTCCTTCCTTTTTACTTGTCTACTATACTAAAAATAATTTTTTCCTTTTACTTGTCAATTTTAGCAAATCAAGAGAAAATAAATAATTATTTTTCAAATTTAGATTTTCAAAGTACCATTAATAAGGATAATTTAGTAAAATAAATACTTGATTAATGCTTTTTAAGAAGAGTGCAAAATGCAAACTAGACAAGTAAAAGGGAACAAATGGGGTAACATTATGCAATTATTAGATGTATATCTGATCATCCTCGGAGGAGGCACTCGCTTGCCTTTTGGAAAAAAACTTCTACAGTATATATACTGTATGGGTCAAAATCTATCTCTAGGATACTTTAAAATGGCATCGGTAACACATTCCCAAGTCGCCACGTGTCAATGTGATTTAATTAACAACAAAGGTTGTGGTCAAAGAGTTAGCAAAGGCTGAAGTCGAGGAGTCGTCATAGATCGAGGCCAAGGTTGAATACCCTTGACAGAGTTATAACAGCTAGTATCAAGATAGAACATTAAAAAGAATATTCTAGAGGATATTCTTTGCACTTGTACTATTAGGGTTTTTTAGGAATATGTTCCCTATAAATAGAAAGAGACACAATGATAGGAGACATGAAATATTCATTTGTAAAAGATACTTTGAATTTAGAGAGAGAAAATCGGGTCTCTTCACAAGCACACAAAAACAACCTTTTCACTAAGATTCATGCTTACACTTTTCCACTAGATCTGAAAATATCTCGGGCACTCGAATGTTTATTCATCATTCTCGATTGTCAGAAAGAATATTCATTGCTTTCATCCTTTCTCGGGTGGCTCATTTTCATTTATTTACATAAATTCCATTTATTGTTGTTCATCGCTATTTAATGCACATTACTTCTATTTTGGTTTTTAACTATTGACTGTGGTGCACCGTCATAGCTTTTGGAACAGATCTATGTGCTATTTATTGCACTACCTGGAATATCTTTTTAGGATATTATTATTTACTAAGATTAACCCTCATTTGTATAAATTTAATTAGTTGAACGAAGATCTATATTTTTGGTCAAACAATTTGGCATCGTATGTGGGGATTTCTTAGTTAATTTTTTAGTTTCCTTTAGATCTACAATTAACGCAAGTCACTAACATCACAAACCCCAAGATCTTTTTCTTTCCTTGTACGTACAAAAACCTACATGGCAGGTAACCAAGGAGAGAGGACGAAGGTAACGAGGGATCTCCCTAGCAACCTCATGAATGCTATCAATGAGAGCTGTGAAACCCTAGGCAAAGACGTGAAGCCCACTGCCTCCTCTGGGCGTGAGAGGTCTTCCCCCCTCCCCCCCATTGTAGCATAACAAAACTCAACGGAAAATGAGCTTTCACGTCCACAGAAGAAGGGACACCACCAGCTGCGAAGAAGCTCCTCGAGGTGTGGCTGACCGATATGCTAATGAGCGTGCTTAACAGGCCCACTCCAGGCACGACTACAGAAACTGCAATGGTATGCACGATACAACGAGCAGACGAACAATGCGACCAGTCGAACCCTCTAACAACTGGTATAACTCACAATATTACTAACAATGCAGGTGACAGCGCCCTCGCTGCCGTTCTAAAGAGGATGGAGGAAATGGAGAATGAAAACAAAGCACTTTAAAACCAGATGAAAGAACACCAGGAACGAGTCAACAAGATACCGGACGCCCCTAAGTTGTTGCCAAAAAGGGACACCAGCAGGTTCGTAAAGCAACCATACAGTGATGCAGCAGCCCTGAATGCCATACCAAAGACCTTCAAAATGCCACCCTATCTCAGGATATACGACGGAACGACCTATCCCGAAGATCATATGACCCATTACGTCATCGTCGTGAAAGGCAATAACCTCGCTAAGGAACAAATGTCCTCTATTTTTCAAAAAAACTTTGGCAAAACCCTTATAGGAGGAGCACTAACATGGTACTCACAGTTACCAGCCCATTCCATAGAAAATTTCGAGGAAATGGCCGACAAGTTCGTAACCACACATGTTGGAGCCAAGAAGGCCGAAGCTAGAGTAAACGACATATCCGCTATCAAGCAATCCTTGGGAGAGGGACTGAGGGACTTCCTCGCCCGCTTCAACATAGTAAGGATGACTCTGTCGAACGTATCCGAGGGGATAGCGGTCGCAGCTTTCCCGAATGGGCAGAGTAGGATGGTTCAAGAGTAACTAGAAAATTTTTGAGTCGGTTGATGAAATACCCTCCAACTACTTAGGACGAGATCCATAATGCCTATTGTGCCGAAGTTCGAGAAAATGAGGACAACCTCAACGGACCGACTCATCGACTCATTTCGGTACAAGCCGAGTCCAGGAAAGAACGAAGGGACAACGTTAGAAGGGACTACCCGATCTCGCGACCCAATAGAGAACGACACCAGCCATATGTCAGGGCACCTATCGCACCTTCCCTCCGCTATGAAAAAGGCTCGTCCAGGCCTTATTATCTACACCGAAACGAGAGAGGTATGGACCCCTTATTATCTACTCCCAATTTTTGCGTGTCACCTACAGAAATAGTCTATGCCCTTGAGAAGCTCGGAACAAAGGTAAAGTGGTCGCCAAAGATGAGATCCGATCCGAACACCAGAAAATCTGACGCCCTCTGTGAGTTCCACCAGGAACGTGGGCACAAAACAGAAGATTGCATCGCCCTTAGACAAGAAGTCATAAATATGTGGCGGAAGGGATACCTCAAAGAGTTATTAAGCTATAAAGGGAGGAACAACTTCGCCAGAGGACGTGAACACCAAGGCCCGCCGAAGCCACCATCACGAGCTCGTACTATCAACATGATTGTTGATACCCAATTTTTTCCTCATATTTTTAAATATATATATATATNCATTTTTCATAAATTATTTTTCTTTCATAATTTTTAAAGGCTTTAAATAAATTTATTTCTTTATTTTTATTATATAAATATCTAATAATTACCCTACAAATTATTTTTATGATGATTTAATAATCTAAATTTATCATTTATACCAATATGAGGTTTTAAATATTTTTAGAGTATTTCTTATAATTACATTTGCATTTTTCAGGGCTAAATTGCACATTTTACAATAATAGCCCATATGCATGTATAATTACATTATTTATGCAGAAAATAACTTTTTATATTTTTATAATGTTAAATAATTATTTTTAATCATTTTCATACACAAATGATATTTTTATTTATTTATTTATTTATTATGTTTTTATAAATTATTTATTTGTTAAAATTGGGTATTTAAAATCTAGCCCTAAATTCCTTCTAATTTCGGACCTAAATACCCAAACATAGCCCAATTACCCCTGGCCCAAGACCAATCAACCCAACCCCATACCCGATCGCGACCCGTTTAACCACCCGACCCAAAACCCTTTTAAATCGTGGCCGTTGATCTCTGAGATCAATGGCCCACATTACACCCTCCCTTTTTAATTATACCCAAACCCCCTAACCCTAAATCATTCCTCACCGCCTGCCGCCCTTGAATCCTCTCATCTCTCATCTCTCAAACCCTAGACGTCTTTCCCATAATTTTCTCTCTTAATCCCACTGGATATGGGATTACATAGCTGTTTCTTGCCATATCC